TTTCTTTCTCCTCATTCACGCAGCCACTGCTTCAAAAAATCTACTCCAAGAATCCAGAAACTTCTCCATCCAACCTTCATTACAATAAACATGAAAATTAAAACTCTCTAAGACCCTCTTTAAAACTGGTATTTAAATCCAATTTTAAAATTCATAAAATTATCTCTGTAAAATATTTTTAACTAACTAACCATGATCCAAAACTAACACTTAAAATGAATTGTATAGCTGAAACTATCCACAGTTTCAGCAACAGAACAGTATAAATATAACATAGGAAAAAGTCGTTCAATCTCTGATACCTTATCTCGCAAATGCCAGTATACACTAGATTTTTTGAGACTATGAGATATAAGAGTAAAATTAAGATCGACATTAGACTCAGAAATTGCACGGATCTATCCGGCCGAAGTTTCAGATACCTTATCTGAAATTACTCTATGAGCGAGCCACTCTGGACATAAACTCAGTATGTTAAAATTAACATGGCACTATTTTTGGTCCAATACACAATTCAATTGCTTATAATTTTGAAACGTAACTATAAAAAATTGAGAAAACATAATTTGTGAAGTTTGAGTTCGCTCTTCGTGAGTTTTGATGTTTGCGATTTTCAATATTTTCTCTATAAAATTGTGAAAAATTCAATTCTAATCAAATTATTGTACTCGTGTGATGGGTGATTGGATGTATTTGGTGGTAAAATTTCGATACTGAATATGACAAAGTGTGAGATTATCTGACATATGCCTGGTAGATAGTAATCTAGTATTTGCCTTCTGATTCTCAGCTTTGGGATTTCTAATTTTTATCGACAAACTATTTTTTGGAACACATTTCAATTTATTCGATTAAGTTGTGACAAGATTAGATTTGCCCTCTTTTCGGATCACTTGTTGGGTCGATGATGATTGGGAAGATAGTGTTACCGTCAAAGTTGTCATCGTATTGAATCATTGTTTTTGAGCTATTTTGCTTAATGTAATACTTCCAATAAGTCTCATCGGTTGGTTCCAATTGTAGAGTCTTTAAGATTTTCGAAAATCATAATTTTTTGTTCTACGTTTGCTTTATGTAATTGATGATGTCGTGGCTTCAGATTCCGAAAGTTGACTTTGATTGTCCAATGGTCTATTTTGTCGTGGTCTCGGAGTTTTTCATGTCTTTGTTTTGTTGTTGTGTCAGATTCCAAAAAAATTGTTTCGGGTTCTGGAAAATTCGACTTTATTACTTGCTTTTGATTTGAAATTTTCGCCTTTTTTGTACTCTTTTTTGATCTAAGATATCCTACTTTTTGCCTGTCTAATGTAACTACGAGATCGTATTTTTCGTCTCTGAATAAAACAATTTTGGAGAACTTTCGTTTGTTTGTTTCCCAATTTAACTCTTGATATAAGTGTTAGAATGATTGATGAAAATCCGGGCGTCAGTTTTTCTTTCCCAAACTATTAATTCCTACGACTGGATCTAACCGTAGGGTTAGATTGTCGTGAAGTGACGGGATGGGGTGAGAATATAACAATTCGTTAGAATGTTTGTACTGCTCTCTAGTGTAATGTTTTTTACAACTAAGTAAAACGTAACCTTACTTAGTTGGGTTTGATTTGAGATCAAGGGTGTAGAATAGTAAATCAATCAAAACGCTTCAGGTATAATTAGAACACAAGTAGATCGTTAATTTCTTTTTCAGTTCTTACTAGTTTCAAAATTTGTTCTAAGCCTGGGTCAATTCACAGGTAGAGATCAAGTGAGGATGACTAACCGAAGTTCTTCACTGCTTAGCCTAATTGTAATGGTTAATATTTGGAAAATTGTCAACTAATTCTGGGTAGTAAATAGGGCTTGGAAAGTGAGTCAACGTTTGAGGTCATTAGACACTAGTTCTATGAGGGGGGATAAAATTTTTAATGATTAAAACAGTTATGATTAAAACTTTAAATTCTTAGGGTTTAGCTGAAACGTATTATATCCAAGGATAGCCGTGATCATCTGCTTTAAATAAATAAAATTAGGTTCAAAGCATTGGTAAAGTTTAATTGAAAGGCTTAAAAAGTGAAATGAACGTTAGGATTTAAACTGAAAGATTTCAGTTAGAGGTTAGTTGTCTAATCCTAAATGCTTAACAAAGTAATTTTTTGAGTTTTTCATTTTTTGAATAATTATGATTTTTTCTTTTATTTTGCAAAATTACTGCAGATTTGAAAAAATTGAGGTAGTTGGTGGGTTTGTAGTTGACTGAGTATTTCTATAATTGTTATTTAAAAATTGTAGTGAAAAATATGGCCGTGGAAAGAATCTTACGGCTCTTTTTTTTGCAATTCATATTATTGAGTGAAAATGTCCTGCATAAACATTTTACTAAACCTATATTACTAAACCTGTGATATCATCGGTTAATGGTTTCTAATTTTCAGATACAATAAAAATCAAACTCATGGTCTAGACGTGCACACATAGCCAACGTCAATTTTTTCAAATCATCGTTCAAGGCCCTCCAGTCTAACCAAAATGTAGCAGATATTTTATACTTATTCTTTTTTTTCCCTCATTCGTTTGTTTTCATCAATTTTATTTTATTACACCATGCCTGTTTTTTTTCTATTTGTCTTCAAAAAAAATTTGTCGCTCGTTGAAATTAGGGGAGATGAATTATGTATTCTATCATGTTTACTTTTTTCTGTACGCAAAATCAGGCACGACAAGTTTTCATTGGTATAGAATCGAACAGAAACTTCCTTAATTTCTTGACTCTCTTCTTGACTAATTTTTTCAGGGCTCTCAGTTTCTCCTCAATTGATGCGCATTCTTCCCATCATTTTGTGTTCTTCTGTTAATTCAACTAATCATGGATGCGTATTAAAATAGTACTACCGAAGTAGAAAACAGTACCAAAAGGTTCAAAATTTGTAGAAAAAGTTTGGGTTGTCCATTAAATTATTCTTTAATCTGCTGCTGATATCAAAAATCATCAAATCAGTTGCAATAAAGTTTTGAGACAATAATGAGCCTCTAGATACGCTTTAAAAAGGCTGTGAAGAAAGTAAACTGTGTTGCTTCACGTTTTTCCTGGGACCTTAAAACCAAAAACAAATCAAATAATTCGTTGTTTGATAAGGGAGAGTGTGGTTACAATGGAAACGAGAAAATTCGAGCTAGCGGAAAATGGCACATGGCAAAGCCTGCGAAAACAGTTTTTTCACAAACTCCTTTTTATGCAAGATAAGCAGCCGACTGAGAGGAGTTTCTCGATAGCGGACTCGGTATCAACGAAGAAAAAGAAACGTTTCAGGTTGTCCATCTATATTTCTCATATTTTCTGCTAATAATTGAGAAGTTTCATTATATCAATTAAATCACCTGGAAAAGACTGTCCCTTGCAATTTTTAACCGAATATATACACATGGTGTTTATTTTTCAGTTGCATTTGCTGCTGATTTTTGCTTTCGGTTGTTTGGATTTGGTGGGATGAAATGAGATGGGATGAAATGTGACACTTGGACGGACAGGTGACAGCAGAGAGTGCTCTAGGAGAATGGAAAGGGGAAAGATGGGGGCTATGATGGTAGGAATGGGTAGTAGGGGTCAATTTGACAGATTGGTTCAAAGGAAAAATTACACGGACAGTAAAGGGGAGACATAATGTTGTAAAGTGCAAAGAATGAGCGCCGAAAAGTCTTTAAATTGATGCTGTAAAGATCCTATTGAAAGCATATAACAGGGCAAAAAAGCGCTCAGAGCCTTAGAAATGATGATGATTATAATTTTAAAATGGTAATAAAAGAATTGATATTAGATAGGGAACCTTATTTTTGCTAGATAAACCGCACACAACATCTTTAAGTGCGCACGCAGGGTTGGATTTAAGAAGGTGGGGGACACACTTGTCCTGGGATTTTCTACCATCTCGCCGCCAAGAACTTCAATCATCTCGGCAAGTTTTTTTGGCCGACCAACCGTTAAAAATTTGCTTAAACAGCCAAAATGGTCATTTACGTGGGAGCCTCCGACGTTCACATGAGGCTTTTCTCACTCAAACTAATGGTCGGTAAATCGAAGCTAATCATAGGATGTCTGTTTTTGATGTCTGATGCTGAGGCAATTTTCCAGTAGTCCAAAAAATTTCATTTAAGTGTTATCGAGGTAACGGCAGCTCTTTGCAAAGAAACTGAACAGCTCCTAGTTTGCTCAATTCCCACATCGGTAAATTTTCTGAGCTTTCACGTCAAATGTCGAGCGTTTTGCCAGCTAAAAATAGGCCCAATAAGCTTCATTTCCCAAAAACTGATGTCATTGAGGCCTATAATTTATCACTACAAAAAAAACATTCAAAAATACACGGAGCATTAACTTTTGCTTCCGATTATTTTCCTAGCGCATTTAGCCACATTTCATGATCTGAGCCACCTTTTGTAATTGTTAAATTTGTTTTAAAAATAACTTTTTCTAACAATCAGGAAATGAATGCTGAAAGTGTTCATATTGCACCCCAATGGTTTGTTGCTGATAGAGTTAAAATTTCCACTCCAAATTAGCAAATGGTTTGCACAAGGAAATTGATTTTGGTCGTTTTCTGTAGTTTTTCCTGTCTCATTATTTCCGTTGATATTCAAAAGCCAAATGTCAAACGTCAATCTCAATTTAATGTAACCAAAAACTCTCCCTTCCCCGTTTCTAGACTTTTTCCTTAAATTTTCCTCCAATGTGTTCATTGAATACCACCTTTTATTATCGTTACAAATTTCGCGAAGCAAAAAAATCCTAGTTGAAAAAAGAGCAACATCAACTTTTAATTTCGACCCGCGAAAAATTGAGCTCACCCTACCTCAGATTTTTTGATCTCCGAAAATCAATACGCCAAATATTTTAAGCGCCTCCCCTGTTTGACCTGAAGCCTATAATAGGATGAAGAGATTCAATTGGGGAGATTGGTTTGCAAACAAAAAAAAATCAGCACCCGCACAAGTAGCACCAGCCCGACCGGATTGATGAATTAAACATGTATAGAAACTGGCACTGTGATCAGACACTTTTTCAATAGTCTTATCTCTTCCCAACTGAACAAACAATGCCATTCTATCCTATCACATCCATAAATTTCCCATCCTCATAAATCTCCTCAAGCGCTTATTTCGTTTCGTTTCTTCATACCAAATTTTATTTTGCTTCCAAATTATTTAACTTGTTTGATCAGCTTTTATTCGCACTATCGCAGCGCATTGGTAAAAAAAATGCTCTGCTCTTCCCCCAAAGGGGTCATCAAAAATTAAAGCTGTTTACCTTCTTTGTCTTTCGTCAAACAAAGTATCAAAAAAGTCAGTTTTTGTTATTTTGTGCGCCAGTTGTTTGTATTGGGACCTGTCATTCAAACTGCGCAAGAGGTTTTTTGCCAACAGCGGAATCGGTAAGTAATGAAAAACCAAAACTTTTATTCAAATGGTGCGCATTGTTTTAAAAATTGAAAGACATTTTTTATAAACTTTGGATTATTTGAGAGATTTTTTAATTTAGTTTTGGCACTCACAATTTCTTGGTCGAAAAACTGTGCCACGTAATTGAAAAAACCTACGCCTGGCTATTGAAGAAACTGAAAAAATTCAAATGTAAAATATAGAGTGCCAGAACTATTGAGTAATCATAACTGGGTATCATGCTAAAAATATTTCAATTTTTCTTTGAAAGATCAATTCGGAAAATTTTTGTGGCATCAGAAAATTTAAAAATTTATTTTAATAGCGATTAGTATAATCATGAAAATCAATCGCAAGTGAGGTCATTACACGAACAAATATTAAAACAAAAAATTATTGATCAAAAACATCAATTGAGAGAACATCATACGGCTAGCATCTAACCTGGTGTCTCAGATAATCAAATGAAAAGTAAGCTTTAATGTCTCAGGAAATAAATTAAAATAATAAAATAATGCCTAGAGCTTTTCTCTTTTATTCAATACAGTCAATAATCTTGCCAGGGGCGGATCTAGGATTTTCTCGAAGGGGGGCGGATTTACAAAAAAAATTCGAAAATTTGAAAATTTTATCGACCCTTTTTTTTAGGTCCATCAAATTGATTTTTCAAGCTCTCCCAAAGCAAAGAGTTAAAAGACCCTGTTTTGGCCAAAATTTCTGCCCGCAGGCAAAATTTTGAAAAAACAGGCCTAAAGGCGTTTTTAGGCAGTTTTTGGAAAACTCTGACCAAACAATCGCGTTTTTTCGGCGCGCGCTCCCCCCTCAAATGTAGTATAAATTGGCCCAAAGGCGCTTTTTGAAACATTTTAGGGTGCGTCACCAAAAATGGATATCTCAAAATAGTACAAAGGAGGGAACCTTTGGGTCGGCAGGTCGTCGAATCCCTGAGGGCGGTGGGGCGTCCGCTCCGCTATATTCGCCCTTGAATCTTGTTATTCAATATCAAGGAAAAAATTAACGATTAGTTTCACTTATGAGGTTTTTAAAGACTAAATATAGCACAGACTTTATTATAAGTTTTGATTTTGATCAAACATGAGTACCGTGATACGTTGATCAACGACAATTTTGTAGATAGTAATTTCAGTAAGCTTTAAAATTTTTCATAATTTTTGCTGGAGCAGCAAGCTGCAAGCGAGTTTGCTAGACCGCAAACAAGATTAAAATATCAATTCAAATTTGGCACTATTCTTAAGTTTTGCGCAAATTTGCCACCAAAACCGTCTTCAAAAAGTTCTTATTAATTCCACCATGTTTCACTGCGATAAAGTTTTAGAAAATAAGCAAACAGAAAACGTAGAAAACTGTACTGTTAATTTTTTGTTTTTGGTTAAAAACAAATGTCTGAAGTTTTGCTATCTGGGCAAAATTTTTAAAACTAGCAAAAAATTATTCAAAAAAGGAAACGAAATCGTTAAATAACACACATAAAAACCTTTATACAATTCAGTGTGCAACATTTGTAATTATTTTTTGATTACGGTACCCAAATTTTAAGGGAACACGCGCTGGAGAGTCATGGACGATAATCAATTATTTTGGGTTTTCATTGTCAGTCTAAATAAGTTTCCAACATAATCATTGTGAAAATCTATTTATTCTATAATTCTTTTAATCAGAGGTTCTTGTTTACAATTATCTCATCTTTCTAAATTGTCTCAACTCCTGTGTAGTGCAGTTTTTACGTTTTACGTTTCCTAAATTTATACTTTTCACATGATAATTTAATTTTTAAATTTTTTTCTACTTTTTCAATTGTTTAAAAGTTTGAAATTTTATTTAATTGTTTTTTATCATCGCCATGGTAAGCAATCGCAATTATCCCACGATCATTATCGCCGCTCGCCCATTGCCCATTAACATTCAAGTGAAGGGGGTTGTTCAATGGTCCAAAATGGTTGCACGGGCAGTATTTAATGGTTGAAGGGTTAAGGAATGGTTGAACGTGGAGAGGCTTAAAGTAAGGTCTACCAACTCTACTAAAAACACCCCAACCTCCACACTTTATTGAACGTGAAAAATTAAAGTGGTTAAGATGTGGGGCAATAAAGAGGTAGAGTTTATGTTGAGTAGGGGCGGGAGGGATTTAGGGTCAACTGTAACACAGTGGGGTTGGTAAACAGAAGTGCAACAAAGACGGCTGCAAAAAACGATTTTGTAAGTTCATGTACTCTTTATTTTATGTTGTTCAGTTTTTGGTTCAAAATTTATCTTCGATTTGTCATAGTTTTGCAGAGAAAGGGCAATAAGCTGAAAAAACAACATTGTTTTGCAGAAAACAATTGATTTTAATGGATTTTTGTGGAGAAAACGAATTCCCGGGGTGACCTACATAGACCAAAAATGCTAATCATACAATTCCATAAACTAAGTCTATGAAAAAATACTAATCATACAACTTTCATACACTTTGCTAAATTGGTGTCGTCGAATTTTCGAAAAACTTTTCTCTTGTTTTGGCTTAAAATTCGGTGTATCGAACTAAATAAAAAAGAAAAACTTTTTTTGAAAAAAAAATAATCATACAATTTCCATATATAGAAAATGCACGACTAGCATTTTTTGATGGCGACGACAAAAATTTTTCAAAGTATTTTTGAAATTACCCCCCAAAATTTTTTTTGTGTTTATTTCAACCGCAAATTGATTTTCGTACTCAAACAAACATTTTTTGAAAAAAAAATTGCATGCAAAATTTAATTTTTTGTGTGTATAACCTAGTCCTGGATATACTTATATTGAATTTTTTCCTTTTCTCTTCATAATTTTTTTCAAAAACGCTTAAAACTCTTCTTTCTTTTGTATGACATAATTTGTAAGCCTTGATCAACGTCTGGTAATTTAAAAATTCAATTTTTAGAAATATTCATTTTTGAAAACTTTTGCCAGAATTTAAAATTTCGTTATATTAATTGTGTGAGACAGAATTAAAACATTTCAGGCTGTTTCCAATGCGTTTTTAATGCGAGGCGGCCAAACTTTTGGTTACTATTTTAAGTAATCGAGGTTTATGTCATTTAGGTTTGGTTACGAACACAACCAAAAAATTTTGAGAAACTAAACTGTAAAAAATCAATATTTTTGGTTTATGGAAAAATGCTAAACATACAAATTCCATATATAAAAAATACTAATCACAGACCTTTTATGCAATTTTCTGTACTTATGCAATTGCATGAAAAGTGTATGATTTGCATTTTTCCATATATGAAAATTGTATGACTCGCATTTTTGTTCAACCCGGGTTGATTGTTATGGATTTATGTTGTGAAAAAAATTAATTATAACTGAAGAAAAATGGAATATGAGCAAAGGGATTATTTTTTTATAAGCAAATCAAATTTAATATATTAAAAAAGAATTAAAATTTAAAATTGACATCTATAATCGATTATAGTGTCCAATGTTTTGGTCACTAAAAACTAATTATAATCAACTGAAACCCCAGCGCGGGAAAGTTCGCGCACACGTTCTCTTTTGCTGCACAAAATCAACCACTACAAACATACTTCAGATTTGGTCAAAGCAATAACTTCAAAAATAGGCCCAGTTATTCATATTTTGAGAAACAAAAAATAATACGAAAAAAAAACACTGTAAAAGAACTGTGTGAAATGATTCTTTGAAATTTTATTGACTCTTTTGTGTCTAAAAACCCTAATTGAGGCATAACATAATTTCATCAATTAAGATACCAAAACGTGTATCTTAAGGGCGCGTATCTTTGTGAGTGTGAGTGTTTGAGGAATTCAGAGATAATCCTTGAAACAGGGGCGGATTTAGGGTCGGCAGGGATTCGACTCCCTGCCGACCCAAAGAGTCCCCCCTTTGAACTACTTTAAGATATCCATTTTTGGCTGACGGACCCCAAACTTTTTTTAAGGCGCCTTTGGCGCCAATATATACTAATTTTGAGGGGAGAGCGCGCGCCGAAAAATCATAAATTTCCAAAAAGTGCCAAAAAAAGCCTTTTTTAGCTTGTTTTTTCAAACTTTTACCTGCGGGGCAGAAATTTTGGCCAAAACAGGGTCTTTTAACTCTTTTCATTGAGAGAGCTTGAAAAATCAATTTGAACGATCTAAATAAAAGGTCAACCAAAATTTTCAAAATTTTTTTGAAAATCCGCCCCCCCCACCCCCCTCCAGAAAATCTTAGATCCGCGTCTGCCTTCAAACATACTAATTTTCCAGGAATAATCAACTTGTCAAAATTTTTGGAAGATCACGACCAAATGCCTTGTGACCTATTTTTTTTTGTTGAATAAAGTTTGTCCCAAAATATGCAACGAGGTAACAAATCAAGGCAAAAAGCAAAGAGCAAAAACTTCAATGCAATGAGATAGCATTTGGAGCTGCACTACGTTTTAGCCACTTACCTCTGGGTTCCACAACCTCAAAAGATCCCAGAAAATTATTATTTTTTTTAAATTTCACGACAAATTACAGTGCAGTCTCGTCGCGGAATCCGCAAACTATTTGAAAATACCCAGTTTGGCCACTTTATGTGGAAGATACAAGATACAACAGGTCCCATCTAGTGATTAGGAAGATCTAAAAACTTTAAAATGTAAAAATCCTTTCATAGTTTTTCAAAAAAAAAACTCAGTTAGCTTAAGTGTAGTCCGAACATTCCAACCTTTACCCTCATGCGAGCAGTTGTGTTCCCTTTCTAATATTTCCGGCTCATATACTCTCCAACCTACAATTAATTTTTCATTTTTGAAAGATTAATTCAATGCTGTCCAACAAAAACATTTAGAAAGATGCAGTAGTGATTCATTCTCAGCGTGTTATTTCTGAGCGAACTTTGCGATGTGATTAGAAAGAAGAAAAGAAAGTTTTATTTTTGCTAATTACTGTGACCCAACCAAATTATTTTGGCTGCAAAATTATTTTTGCTAATTACTGTGACCCAACCAAATTATTTTGGCTGC